CAGAACTTCTAATCCGATTTCTCTCTCTTGTCTGTTTATTGAGGAAGGCTGTTAGGCTACCTATTCCATACTAGCCGTTAAAACGTACCTAAGGATATACTTGAGCGAAGCAAGGAGGAGCCGCTAGTTTTTTTATATAATTTATTCTTTCTGTGTCACTAATAGAGTTTATTCTAATTGATGAGAATTTTCATTAAATTATTGAACTACCACCACTCTTGATTGCAACCAAAATGTACCTAAATCTGTAAAATTACATAAAATTAAAAAATAAGTGTTTTTTTTTAATTATATTTGTCCAATGTATGAAAAACATATTATGTGGAGTAAATTAATACGAGGATCTGACGGTTAATTTATTTATATATTTATTCATTCCATATCCTTTTAACGATTGAATTTGTTCGTACTTTAAAAAAAATACATAAAAAATCATATTAAACGTCTTTCTTTTGTTTTTGTACATTTCACAATCCTAGCAAAGCAATTTTTTTTTAATAAATAATAAGGTAAAGTAGTTTTTGTAAGTCATACATACAAACATTTGCAAATAATTATTTATTTCTTTGAATGTCTCTTACATTAAGCTGTAGCTTTAACAGAATATTGGTTTGATAAAATTAATATATGAAAATTATATGATAATCGGAATCGTAAAAATATTTTAAAACGCGATCATTATCCAAGTGCCTACTTGGATAATGCTAATACTAATTTTATGCGTGATTAATCTTAAAACTGTCCAAAAATGGAATATTCTATGGAAACTTTGTCGATTACAACCCAACACATGTTTTTGTTCGTTCGTCTGTTCTTATATGGGTTAATACCTCATAAAACGCTAAATTACTTTTTATGCTATAAAATAACGCTAAGGGAGCACTGCATGAATATAATTATAATGTCAAGTGCCAGACGAAGACAGCGGGGATTGCAGATAAAATATAAAATAAGAATTTCTAAAGTCCATATTACCCCAACCGACTCATCTCAGGTATTTTAATGTAGATCCTTGTATACGTAGCGTAATTACGCGCTTCTAAATTTTCATCCCCCAAAATATACCGTATTAACTGTTAAGACTGTTGATGTAGGTATTTTTTAGTTAGAGCGGCTTAAATATGAGTGGCAGATTTTAGCACAACTAAACTGTAAAAAATAACTAACTTGTAAAGAATAAATAATTTGAGTGTTTTTTAATAGCGCATGTAATTATTTTGATAGAACTTTATGATATGATAGATGATATGAAGATGAGTGAATGACAATCTGAATATTATATAATTTTTCACTTGTTTTTTTGAAATACGAATTACAGTTCAGAGCAAAGGAAATTGACTGTATTCCTAAATTAGATTAGAGTTTTATAAGTACAGAAGAAGAGAACATTTTTATTTGTACAGAAAAAAATATTAAGGACCTGTATAAGAAAATTATTGTTTAAATTTAATCCATCCACGACCGCGGACGCGCCGGCGTGTCAGTTAACAATAGATTTCTTAGAATTCTAATTAATTTCTTAGAAATTTACCTGGAGGTGTTAATAAATCGCGAAAATGTTGAAATATTAAATAATGAATAAGTTTCTAATATCAGTAATTTTTAGTCAAGTGAATTTACTTGAAGAAAAAAAAATTAAACGTTTTCCTTATAAGCTTAATCAGTCCTTTTTAATTTCTTTTGGTTCTTTTCTTTAAAACATCCTTTGCTCTTGATGCATCATTTATGAGACTGCAAACAGGTATATTATGGGTACAAAAACTAAAAAATGAATATTCTGTAATATTTTAATAAAATTTTATGTAAGATCAACAAGCCTGTGCAAAGAGAATCATAACAATGGATGAAGAAAAGGAGATATGTATAGATTGTAGCGCTCGGCACTCAGTTCTCTCTGTCTACCCCGCGAGGGATATAGCAGATATAGAAGTTGTTTGTTTATCAATTATATAATATAATAAATATTTTATTACGGCGGCTTACCCTTGTTGCGCTCGGGTTCGCCTCTAGACAAACAAAAACAACTCTATCCCACGGGAACCGTACATTTTCTGGGATAAAAAGTAGCCTGTTCGTTATTCTGATGTATGGATTATTGTAAAGTTTCATTAAAATCCAATCAGTAGTTTTTGTGTACTAAGCTGTATAAGTTACTATAGTTTTTTAACTATCTCACGGGAACTCTTTAATTTTCCGGGATGAACAGTATCTTAATTGTGGACCGGGGATATAAGGTACCACCATGGAAAATTTCATTTAAATCGGTCAAACAGTTTTGGAGATTAGCCCGAACAAACGGACAGACATACAGGCAAACAAACAAACAGATGAAAATTTCAATAACTATTGTTTTGGGCTATATTGTGTACACACACACATAATAAGTACATTACAAACAAAGAAAAACAAATCAGTAGTTTTTGTGTACTAAGCTGTATAAGTTACTATAGTTTTTTAACTATCCCACGGGAGAACTCTTTAATTTTCCAGGATGAAAAGTATTGAAGATGTTGACCGGGGATATTAAGTACCACCATGCAAAATTTCATTTAAATCGGTCCAATAGATTTAGAGATTAGCCTGTACAAACAGACAGAGAAACAATAGATTTGAAAAAAATGTGGATTTGTTCTATTTCTCTTCTTACACCCTGACTCAGTTTTTAGCATTTTTTTCTATGTACAGACATTCGACCTCTACAGTTTTATTATATGTATAGACATGCAAAATATGTTTTTTATCATTGTAACATTATATGTGCAACTTTGTAAAGCTTATTAGATGGCATATAGTTGAACAATGGTAGCTTTGAAGAGGTAATGTATCCTTCTCAGATTTTAATAGCTTATCTTACAAAAAGTAAAAATATTTATTACATAGGTATGTAAGTAAGTAGATATTATTTTTACTGTACACTTTGATTCATTAATTTACAAATTAACTTTCATAGACAATGAAAACTAGTTTTTAGGTGAATATTATTTTTATGTTACTTCTTAACATGTTTATTTTTAAAATAGTAATAGTTTTTTTATATTTTTTTTTCTTATATTAGGTTAGATGTATGATTATATGATGAGTATTTGGCAGGATTAAGTTATAAAAATTATAAATCAATTATGAAGCAAAGTAATACTTACACAAAAGATTGTTTTAGTGATTTAAACAGTTTTTAACAAAAATAAGACATATTTTTTATGTATATGAATAGTAAACAGAGAATAAAATATTAAAAAAGAAAAAGTTTTAACTTAATAAGAATTATATTTGAATTAGTAAACAAAGTATATAAGTTATAAAAAAAATAATGAAGCATAATTTTAAACCCAGACTTCAAAGCTAATGCAATTTATAAAAAGAAATAATCAATTCCGGTGCATGTATCTAAAATAACTTGTGTTGAGACAAGTCATATTGTATGCACAATGTTTGACATCAAACGAGCGGCCGAACGCATTTGTCCACAAACAAACATCAAAGGGACCGAAACGTGGAACACATTACATATAACAAAATACCATTAATATGTGCCCGGAATGACCGTAAAAACCTATAAATAGAAAAGGACTAAGGATGCGACTTACCGGATAACAGCAGAAAAACGAATAAAATCGCACGACATAACCACATTTTGACCACGATACAGCACTCAGTGTCCACTTCAAAATCTTATTTATTTATTTTTTGCTATTTGAAGACATTTTTAATTTAAAAGACTCTTGGAAGAAGCTTTATAATAAGGAAGCACAAGCTGAATGCCCCTTCACGTTCGACACTGAAGCGTGTTCTATAACAACTGCGAAGTGCGAAGGCGACCGCGAACGCGAGCTTGAGTTGAATCCCGATTCCCGACTCCCGATTAGAGTTGTACGATTACGAATGATGGTAAGCAGATGTTTTGATTACAAAATATATCGATTTCTACTAGTCTCATATTATTGGATAACATGATAATATAAAAACCGAAATCAGAATTAAATTAAGTAATAAAGAGTATTATCTTCTATTATTAACAGCTAAAGTCTATACATTAAAAACACAACAGTTTGATTCAATCATTATATGTTTTGAACGTTTTATTAAGTAATATTAATAAAGTATTTAAATCTGATTATATTGGATAAATTGTAGTGACAATATACATATGTACACAATTCATATTTTAAATTTTATTGAAACAAATCGATTTAAAAATGACTTAGTCGATAACCAGTAATATCGCATCTCTACTTTTGTATTCGAGCTTTTTCAACAACCGCTTTCACAGACAGCACACTACAACATTTTGTTTTTCATGTACAACGCGCACACTAAAACAATTCCGAATCCAGACAGCAGATAACTTCATTGCATATTTGACAGTTCATTCACACCAAATACGTTCCGATTTACATATTACAATTATGTATTATTGTCACATTTTGATAAAAAATAGTTTTAATAAAAAAAACCACCATTCTAAAATTATATTTAAAAAAATTAATTATTTATTTATTCAATATTTCTGTAATTATTATAATGCTAATATGTGCCTTGTCATGATGAAACTAGATGGCGCTGGAAAAGAAATCTACTTAAGCTTTCCAAATATCATCTATGATTTAACATACAGATAGGTAAATAAATTTGAAGTGTCTGTTTGTATTGGCAAAATAACAGCTGTTTACTAAATGAATATGAAATTATATACAGTACCTATAAGAAAAACTCATTTTTTTTAATTTTATTTCCATGTGTTCGTTTCATTTTGGCTAATCTCCAAAACCGCTGGACAGATTTTATCAGAACTTTCACTGGCAGATAACTGATGTTATAAGCTAACTTAAGCTACTTTTTTTTTAGAAAAATAATTAGTGTTCCACTACAGAAATTTGATTTAAATTATTTAATGAAATCTACTATGATATGATTATTTTATTATTTTCAATCTATGCATGCATTAATAATTATCCACATAATTATTTACTTATTTTAGTGTTGCATAAAAGAAAAACAATTTAAACATTCTTTTTATTACTAAAATAGTATTTAGCAAAGGTTTGAGCTACAAGCAATGGAAATACAAGTGTAGCATCAGCATACAATTTCACTGGAGTGGCATTTGTTCTAATCTTTCCCCAAGAAACAGCTTCATCAGGCCTAGCTCCGGAGTCACTGCCATCGAACTCACTTGCTGTATTTACATAAACTGCAAAATCAGCACCATTTCTCATCAAATTTGCATTACATATATGGTGCTTGATTATCCCTCCTCCTAAAATGATCATACCAGTGTTGTTTGCTTTTACAGCCATTGTGTTTAGCCTGCGCAAATCACCCAAGATATCAATAATAAGCCCTGGTCTTTTATATGAGTGGAAATACATCATATCTCCTAGTGAACCATCTGTCAAAGCTGGACTGAAAATTGGAATATTATTCCTCCATGCCCAATAACATACAGAGTTTTCATTATTTATTTTCTCACCCAATCTAGCTATAATCCTTGAAGGAGACCAAACTATTCCATCTTGCATTTGTTGATCTAACATTTCATCTAATAGTGGAGTGACCCACTCTTCAAATAAACAGTAATTATCATTTGGCACCAAAAGATTACCAATTCTGTTTATACCCCTTGTTCTAAGCATTTTACCACTCAAATTGAAATCTCCAATATATGTTGGAGCGAGACATTTTATAAAATCTTCCTCGACACCACCTGCAGTAGTAACAATACAATCTACAAGTTTATTCTTAACCAAAAATAGAATCGTGTCTCGTAAGCCAGATGAAATCATATTTGAGGTGTACCCTAGAAAAATAGTGCAATTCGTTTTCTTTTTAATAAATATATCTTCTTCATATGGATCACTTGTTTCTTCAGTTAAAGGTATCGATCGACATTTTAGCATTTTATTGATTTCATCGACAGCTTTCCCGAAGTTAGTAGCCTGAAAACCGGAGCGTGCGTAGCTCTCGAGTATTTTGTTGTAATCAGTACCATTTTCCCAGTTATACCCTGAAACTATTGGAGTTTCTGCAGGAAGCTCTTGACTTGGTACCAAGACGGCACTAACAGCTACGTCGGGTGCTAAAGATTTCTTGTCGATTTTGGCTTGTGAATCCATTTTTGATAAACACGTGTTTGTTTGGTTAATTATCTTTGTTAGTTACCAACATTTGAGACCTAGTAATATTTAAATACCCGTTTCGATTTCTTGATTAATATAAACATAGAAAAATTATTGTTGTAGTTTTTAGTGCGATTATTTTCGTCAGGACTGTCAGTGTCAACTGTCAAGTATCATTACAATTTACATTTTACAATTGACAACTGTCGATTCCACTATAGCCTGTGGTAGAAATGTCAGTCTTTTATTGTTTAGAAATGACCCATGAATTTTCAACATAAAAAAATATTATAATATAAATCTAATTTAGCTTATTAAATAGCAGTTTCATAAAATATTACACAATTTTAGTAGTAAAGTTATAAAAGTAAATATTACTTGATTTAATGTAATTATTTATTGCATAAATATATTAAATACTAGCATTGCCCGCGGCTTCGCCCGCGATCAGATGACCAAAACCCAAATTCTTAGGTTTTACATATTATTATACTATTACATTGCAGTTTTTGTATTTTTTTCTCAGAAATGAGACATTTTCTCGCGGTAAAAAGTATCCTATACGTTGACCCGGATAACCAGCTATCACCATACCAAATGTCATTAAAATCCCTCTAGTAGCTTTTCTGTGATGCGGTAACAGACAGACAGACAGACAGACAAAAATTCTAAAAACTATAGATTCAGCCTCTGATTTTTCAAAAAATATTTAATGTACAGATTCGGCTTAGTTACAATTTTATTATATGTATAGGTTACGTTGGTAGTTCAGGGGTTGAGCACACATGTCCTTCCAACGTGGGTTCACCTTGTCGTTGTGGGGTGGGGGGCTATCTGATGCTGATCCGGAGGTCTTTTGTTCGAGTCCTTGATCGGGTGAAACTTAGATATTGAGTTTTTCTGTTAAGGTCTCAATAACAGCGCGGAGTTGGAAAGTTGTTGGTGTTTCACCCCTGTGTCTGTGCTCAAAAACATGTAAAGCCTTGCGCCACAGGAAAAAGAGTTCACTTGTGCCTGCGCGCAAACTTTTCCACTAAAAATATTTGATAATGAGATGTGAATAACATGAAATATCACTAAATATAGCCTATAGGATAGATAGGTAAATATATTAGGTTTTTTTATTAATTTTACGCATGCATCAATAACAAATCGATAACTATTTATTGACATTTATATGAACCAAATGTTCTTTGTTTCTGATTAGGTCTCATTATGGCGATGTTAACTTGGAAATGAAATATTAATATTTAATGTTTTTGTCCATGTTTTTATGTTTAGACATGTAGGTATCAATCGACTCTCAAGCTACCAGAATTAATTTTAATATTTAATTGTTATGTAACATTTTAACCCGTTGATTAATAATAGTATTAGCTTCCAACTATTATATTGAATGTAACTGTACGCAAGGCACTGGTAGTTCAGTGGTAACGCGCTCGCTTGGGAGACCGAGTAAAACGGGTTCAAATGCCAGGTCACGCTCCTCTAATATTTTCATGTGTGAATTATTTCCAACATTATTACCACTTGTCTTACGGTAAAGGGAAACATCGTGAGGAAACCTGCATGTCTGAGAGAACCTAGCAAGTTTTCAAAAGACATTATGTGTGTCCGTCCACCAACCCGCACTTGGCCAGCGTGGTACTCAATGGGTTGATCCCCCTCGTATTGAAGGGAGGCCCGTGCCCAGCAGTGGGACATTAGTCAAGACTGAATAACATAATATAGCTGTAGATCCTATGCGCGTGCGCAAGCAGAAGCTTATAATAAATAAATAATTACCTATTTGAGAAGTTCTACTTCAATGTTTATTAATAGTTTCCATTATAGTAGACTTGTATAAATGCTCCACCATAATATAACATCTATAAATAAAACAAACTGTTCAACTTTCTCTACATTTTGCTCCCTAGCGTATATAAAGCGAATTAAATATATAATTTACTAGTAGAACCTGTGGTTTCGTTCGCGCTAAAACTACAAAAAAAAACTTGCTGGCTTGCTTGGCTTTATACAAAAGGCATTTTGGAATGTGGTAGCTTCTGAGATTTAAAGCACTTAGCATAATATTATAAACATCAGCTTTACAATAATGTATGGAAGTCTGCCCGATTTGTCGACATTTATGATTACTATTCCTCTCCCTTAAAAAGAAATTTTTCAAATCGGATTAGTAGTTCCTGAAATAAGCGCGTTCAATCAAACGAATAAACTTTGCCTCTTTATAATATTAAGTATTGATAAGAAAATTATTTTGCTTGATCAATTTAAGTTGTATATTTGTTCGTATAACATCTTTATGTTATACTTTCATGAGTAATTGTATGTAAACTAATATTTTACTTTTTTACTTAAGCTTAACGAAGATTAAATTAATAAAATTTATAAATATTTGTACGCACCTTACACTTAAATATGTAAATAGTTTTTTTATATATAAGTACATACATATAAATTAGATTAGCTTGTCTTTTCTAGTTTTCTGAGCATAAAGGATAGCGAAGAAGAGTATACTTTTCTATAGGGTCTCAAACTATCTTATAATCAAATTTCATCTAAATCGATTCAGAGATATTACCCTACAACGTCACAAACTTTACCTCTATTATAATATTAGTATAGACTAGAAATAGAAGGGTACATTCAATTTGTGTTACTACTTGTACTATATCTGCGCGAACATCAAACATACATACGTTTCAACATTTTCAACCTGTAAGGTCACGATTATATTATAACGCTCAGTACAAAGTAAACAAATTAAGCTCGAAGCCCGAAGGCATGGACGTGAAAGGTTCGTCAGTTATATGATTTGAGTTTTATTTAACAATTTGTTATCTTTAATACTTCTTAATTCTTATATAAAAGTATTATATAAGTATTATATTCTTGACATGATCTAGCTTACACCATTCATTTTGATACTTGATAGAATATATTTCCAAAATAAATAAATATGTTGGGACGCTAACATACAAAACCATCTCGTTCCATGGTAAGCTACAAGGCTTGTGTTATGGATATCAGATAGTTGATACACTACTGACTACACATATATAACTTTAAACACATAAGTACATATTATAAATATAAACACCCATTACTGGAGTTCAAACATTCGTGCACATCACACAAATGAATGTCCCCAGCGGGACTTGAACCCCCAACCGCTGGGCACAGCAAGTAGGGTTACAAACTGAGCCAAACGTGTCGTCTAATACTATATACCAAAATATCGCAAATAAATTCTCAATTCGTCGGAATCTTTTTTTTAATGTATGTTCACCAATTACTTGAAGACGCCTGAACCGATTTGGAAATATTTTTTTGTTTTAAAGGGTATACTTCCCAGGTGGTCCCATATAAATTTTATCGAAATCGGTTTAGATGTTTTTTTTTAAATCAACAATAACTTATTTTTTTAAATAAATTGTTTAACCGAATATGTTATTAAAAAACTTTTTTCCAAAAATTACCTGCTTATTACGTCTACACTAAAAATATAAAATTAAAAACTTAGAAAAAAACCGACTCCAGGCACTAAATAGTAAAAAATAACTAAACGGGGGTTTTCATTTAGAATAGATATCTAATCAAATATTTTCGAAGTCGGTGCCAGCCGACGATATTTTAAGATATGAATATCTATTAGATAAATATGTATTTTACGTATCGAAATATATTAGATTTGCTTTGCATCGGCTGGTAACGACTTTGAAAATATCTGATTAGGTATCTATTCTAAATGAAAGCCCCCGTTTAGTTACTTTTACATTTTTGTACCTGGAAGTCGGTTTTTTTAACTTTTTATTGTACCCAGTCATTCTGATATTATAAAAACGAATCTAACGACTCATAATTCATTAAAATCGATCTAACCGTTAAATTCAGTCGTTATGAGGGAATATAGAGTCAGTCAGACATACATACGTACAGGTCAAACACACAACCTCTTTTTGGGATTTGCAACGGTTGGGCAAAAAGGAGGTCAAAGATCAACCGGAAATGACGAGTGTGTAGTTAATTTTAACTTTATTAAGTAGTATAGAGCGACTAACTGCTTGATGTAACGAGTTATGTCATTTATGCCTTCCCTTTCCAACCATATGTAGTTCTGATTACCTGTTCTTATAATCATCACTTTAAACTTATTACTCAGAAATGTTAGATAGTAGATACTAAATTATATAAGTAATATTTTTCTCTCTGCTAAGACATTTTTGTTAATGAATCATAATTTTAGTATTTTATTTGTAAAGTGTTCGTGTACTTTTTGTAGGAAAGCTCGTTTTTTTCACCGACTTTAATAAAAGGGGAGGCTTTTAATCCGTCTGTATGTTTTTTTGTGGGCATGTTACGTATTCGATATTGACATTTCATCATTAATTTAATATATTTTCAAACTTACTTCTTTTCTAATGAATAATCAAAAGTTTTTCATAAATAAGAAAATTCACACCTAAGTTTAAATTAGCTTTTATGTTATTTTAAAGCAATACATCCACTGACTTTAAAATGAATATATTTTTAATTATAAAATATTTTTACTCATGTAATGAACTTTTTGATTTAAAATACAATTTTCTTTCACCTCTTAAAGTGCTTATTGAAAAGGCGAATAGCCTAGGTGACTGCTGCAATGCCAACAGCGGCTCACCCTCGTTTCACTCGGGTTGGTCCCTAGGTACGTTTTAAATAGATATAAATAGCTATTAGCTAGCGCTAGCCATATAAATTTTATTTTTCGTGAATTTTTCTGATGTTTTAATAGTTATTATGCTATTGGAGGAAATCCAACAAATCAAAAATCATAGAAATCGGTTCAGCCGTTCTTGAGTTATAAATGGTGTAACTTACCCGAATTTGTTTTATATATTACATACTTACCTATATAGATAATAGTAACTCTTCGTCAAATATTGGGTCAAAAAGATTTAGGTAGGTACTTCTCGCTTAAATTGTTTCTTAAAACCATAATACTTATAATTTTTTTT